GAGGGCAGGATACCACTGAAGCCAGCTGTTTGATTGACGTCACCAGATTCTCATTAGCGAATTCAGGCATACATTGGATTTCAATGTTGTTGTCGCGAGCATGCTGATCCAATTGATCGATCCGGAGATGCAGGTCAGATACATCCTTCTTCAGTTTAATGTTATCAGATCGTAGGTCTTGAGCTTCCTTACGTAATTTTTTAAGTTCCCTAAGAGTCTCGTCGTGAATCTCGCTCATGAGCTCCACAGATGCTTTAAGCTCGAGAAGGGGCTCGACATCCTTTCGCAGCTTTTCCAAGTCCGTGCGTATTGTACGTAAGACGGTAGTCTCGAATAATTTTGTAATCTTGGTTAACATAGAAGTTTCCATGCGACTCAATCTATCATCAATAGCAGCAATTTGAGAGCTGGAAAGATTACTGGAATCGCTATCAATCACTTTTGTGGGTTCAGGACTCATAGTACCCTCCTGGGCAGAAATACAGTCCCCACACCTCCAACCCTTCCTAGCTCTTACTGATAGCTTTTTGTACTCCTCTTTCACCATGCCGGTACAGATGCAGTGGAAAGATTTAGTGCAGTCATGGCAAGTGAGTTTATCAGTCACACTTATCAACAAGGAACATTCAGTGCATTTGCTCATTGTGGACAGTATACATAAATTCCAAGAGTATATAATAATTTAATACTTTCCAGCGGTGTGTAGGTAGATCGGCAATTTTATAAAAACAATCTCGGCCGTCCAGAAGAGAAAGAAGTGCAAATACGCTTATAACTATTACATGTCTAATAAAAAAATCTGAAAAATATATATTTAAAATGTGTTTGAAAAGAAATGGTCCAAGTTAACATACTGTCCCCTGTATTTTACTTCTGCATGACATGACAATAATTGACTATTGATTATAACATGTATAATTAATAACTCTAGTTACATTATTAGAATTAGCTTCAGACTTATAAAATTTTAAATTTGCATGTCAGTTTTGGTAAAATACGAAAACTGTTACAATATACCCTTTGCAGAACATATTTTATTCAAATAAATATCAAACAATCAAATATCGATCAATCAACTCTTTCGCAAGAAGCGCTACTGCCAAGAAAAAGCTACTTTGTGTTATTTTTCGGCTAAATTACGTATTTTTGGTGACTATTATCTATAGAACAGAAGAATAGAATAGAATCATTTATTTCATATTATCAATTTCATAATATCATAATTCGAAATACAATGTCAAAGGATAATCGTCATTAAGGTAAATAATAATGTTAATGTTAATATAATATAAAATAATTAAAAGAAAAATACGAACTACAAAAATACAAATAAAATGTTAAATATATCCAAAATATAAACGTCCAAAATTCTCTCTACACTGTAGAATTCATTATCCATTAAAAGGTCTTTCAGTCGGGAACAAAACACTTCGTCATTTGTAACACTTTTTAGACTTGTGGGTGTTCGTAAAATCGGGGCCCAATTACTCGCGGATTTTTCGTTGCTAGTTCGGTTCGATGAGCAACGGGTTTCAGTATTCCTATGTTACGTAACAGTCGGCCATGTACTGTGAATACGTTGTCATGACGTGGTGCTTTCGAAAAAGGCCAGGTCTGATTATCTTTTATGCCCACTATGATTCGTAGTGCGCGTTTCTGGAGAACGAATACTCTATTGGACTCAGTTGAATTGCCCCACATTGTAATACCATAGGACATCAATGTGTGGAAGTATGCAAAGTACGTTTGCCTCAACACCGCAGTGGACACAAGGGGACGCAGTTTCCGCAGTGCGTACGTAGCACCTCCAAGTTTCTCGCACAACGACTGAATATGGGCTTTCCAGCTTAAGTTTGAGTCTGTAATGAAACCCAAAAACTTGCATGTGTTGCAAAGTGGAACCGCAGAAGTGACTATTTGGCATGATACGGGATTTCTTCGTGAGAACAAAAACTAGGTTCGACTTTGACGTGTTCATTTGACACAAAGTTGATTGTACGTGTATGTTACTTTTTCGTCCAATTCTGTGAAGCCTTTAGCACACACTTTAACAGTAGTGTCATCTGCAAACAGAACCACCAAGCCCTCCGATATATAGTGCGCAAGATCGTTGGTGAACGTCAGGAACAACGTATTACCCAAGGCCGATCCTTGAGGGATTCCGATGGTGATATCACCAGCTGTGGAGTTGGTTTTTTTGCCGTCCGTACAGACTTGAATTGTTTGCCTTCTGTTTGTTAAGAAAGATTTTAATAAATCGTAGGCAACTCCGGTGATAATTTTTAGGGTAATTTTTGTGTTAGTAATTCATTTCCAATTACATCGAACACCTTTATGAGGTCACAAAAAATCCCTGCTGTTTTATACCCATCATCAATGCTGGTAATGATAGAATCTATACTACACTTTGCGAGGCAGCTGTGGTGGACTTACCTTATACGCAAATTGTCTGTCGAAAAATAAGTCGTTTGTTTCTAAATGTTCCATAATGCTTGTAGATATAATGGATTCTATCATTTTTGATATGTTTGGGACTATTGTGATAGGCCTGTGGCTCTCAACCTGGGTCTTATCCCCTTTCCCTTCGAATACCGGACATACACAGGTATTTTTTTAAATGTTAGGATATATACCTTCGGTAAACATTTGGTTTATAAGGGTTACGATTATGTCCCCTATTATTGACCAGACAGACATTAATATACTTATGGAAATATCGTATATGTACAGTGTTTTTGATGAATGCAACATTCCCTTCACCACCCTCTCCAATAGGTCACAAGTAACAGTTGGAAAGTTGAACATCCCACCCACCTACACACTTTCTAAGGAATGACAGAGATTTCACATAATTACTATGTAAATCTAATTTTGAAGTAATTGTAAGGAAGTAATAATTGAAACAATTTGGAATTTTATCAGTCGGTATAAGGTTTCCATTATGCGTTATTTGCACATTTTGTGATTTAGTCGTTGCCGAAATTTCATTGTTTACGATTTGCCATATTACTTTACTTGAGTTTTTAACCGACTTCAAAAAAGGAGGAGGTTCTCAATTCGACTGTAAGTTTTTTTTTTGTATGTATATTACGCGATAACTCCGGTATTTATGAACCGATTTTCATGATTCTTTTTTGCTGGAAAGGGGGTACTTCCCCACTATGGAATCCCAAATCCCAATTCAAATCCCATTACATTTTGAAGGAAATCATCCAACTCTAAGGGTGACTGTTCACGCATGAAGACTCATTTTTGTAAATAGCGCCTAAATTTTCTTAAGGAGCAATTATTTTGATGGTTGATTTTGCTATTTTTCCAATTCAAAGCGTTTTTCTCTCAATATTCTTTGAGTAGTGAGAACCGATTTTTATTATCTCCAGTGTCAAGTCCTGTATAGTGGCGAATTTAAGGATATTTCAATAAAACTTAGCAAATAGATGTAATTCCACGTACTTTTGAGGTCGGTTTTTTTAGTACTCTGTACTGAGATTATTAGTGGACGTTACGCTCGCGTCGCGCAGACTCACAGATTTTATTAAATCTGAATAGTGTTGCACGCAATTACCTAATATAGTGTTGTGTGGAAACTGATGTTTCATTGTGCAGAAATTGTTGTAAGTTGCAATGCAATTATTGAGTTCTTTGCTCACACACGGAGTATGGTTTTTTTTAATCGTAATTCTTTTGTAGGAAAATGTATATCAGTATAGTTTGTCAATATTCTTATCAATGAATTAAATTTTTCATTATTGTTATGTCAATGTTGTAAATAAAATCCCAATTATAATTATAAATATCCATATAACATAAATTAATTAATTCTTCTTCAAAAATACGTCGATGTATAAATTTGTTTGCATTTTTGTGTCGCGTAACAACAAACACCTGCTTGACGTAGTCGGCGTGTCTAACGGAAAAACGGTTGTTATCTCTGGAAACTATATAGACGCTCGATTATATCTATATTATAGAAATTAAATAAAAAAGTAATAAAGAATGGCGCTACGCCTGTTATTCGAGATATCCATTATACCATGAGTTTGAACTTAGTTTTAAAGTTAATATGATGGATATTATGTGTTATTTTTACGGGCATACAAAATATTTGATTAAATGTACAGTGATGCCACAGCCATGTGACCAGTCTCCTTAAACTTTTCTCTGAGAGAAACCCGAGAAGCTAAACAGTACTCAGAAGGAATTGTTCGTTTTGCAGCACAAATATGATTTGTTTCTGCCGCTTTACCCTACATGAGAATTCCGTAGGACATTATACTATGAAAATAACTAAATTAAACTATTCTAGCAGTATCAACATTGGTAAGCTCAAGTATTCTGCGGGCTGCGTATGCAGCGGAACTTAAACTGCTAACCTGGGAAGATACAGATATATGCGGAAACCATTGACGTTTACTATATAAGGTCACTACCAAGAAGTCTGCTTTATTAACAATGTCTAACTTTTCTCCATTTATTTCCATATTTGGACTAGTCAATTTTATTTTAGGTAATTCAAATTTAACACGCTTTGTCTTCTTAGCCTTAAACCAATGAACTACCTTATTAATTACAAAATTGAAGACTACATGTTAGATACAGATCTGTGGAAAGACAACATGGGTCTAAATTCCACACAAATTTGATTCCATAACATTTAGGTTTATTTGAAAAGAGCAATCCCTAGAGTTTCTTGCTCGTTCATCTCAGGAAGTCAGCACAGTAAACGAGCAATTACGTAAGTTAAACATAATAACGTTTTCAAGTGTAAATTTATTTTAACTATGTACTTAAATTATTGTTTGACTTTGACTTTGAGTCAGATTATTTTTATTATCGTATTAATATTATGTCTGTCAATACTTTTCTCTCTCGAATTGTGATTCATATCATGGGGTTTGACGCGTGGATCTTATCACGCTAGACTGTGCAGAGGTAAGCTGAGGAAGTAGGAATCAAAGCGGTGTTTAAAATAGCGTGCACGCAGCCACAGTACTGCAGTATCCTCCGTGAAACTGACGCGGTGCTCTAATTGCCGAGCAAATTTCAGTGCAGTATGTTGGGGCGCGGAGTGATCACGTTTTTTGTGCTCGCCGCCGTGAGCGCGTCGCTGAATGCACAGGTTAGTTTAACAATTTAATTAACTAGTGCATTTACAAATAAGACCTAATTTTGCGGCATTCGTGATTTTGCTATTGATTTTATCGCAAAGTGAGTCAAAATTCGGTTAGCAAATTTCTAAAAAACTTTTCGAGGCTCTAACAAAATTGATAACAACAGGGTTGATTCAGGGTTATATTTTTGTATTGTGAAAGAAGTGATGTTCTATAGGCATTGTTCTTGAATTTAGGGTTATTAATTTGGAAATGAAACTATTTTTCCGGATTTAAATCGCGTATATTTGTTTTTTCAAACAAACCGACGTTTCGGGCCCTTTACAGGTCCCATGGTCACGGTTGACTGAGGTGGTACAGTCTTCAACCAGTTATGTCTAATATTAATGCAAACCACCCTATTTTTGCACTATAGTTACAAATTTTTATTAAGTTTAAATTCATTCAATAAAATAATTTGTAAAACTTAATGTAGCGTAAATTGGAATGTTTTCTTTGTAAAATTAAAAATAAGGTATTTAATTTATAACTATTGTAACAATAGTGAAATAATAGGGTGGTTTGCATTAATATTAGACATAACTGATTGAAGACTGTACCGCCTCAGTCAACCGTGACCATGGGACCTGTACAGGTCCCGAAACGTCGGTTTGTTTGAAAAAACAAATATACGCGATTTAAATCCGGAAAAATAGTTTCATTTCCTATGTGTAACAATCGCGAAAACCTAAGAACTCGTTATTAATTTGGCTTTTAAATTCTCCGTTACCCACTTATCGTGTCCAACTAAAACAGTGTTAAGGCTCTGTACAGTGTTTTGTATTTACATTGCAATCTTTCGGCTCTTATCAAGGTATTACATATATATTTTTTTTTTCAATAAAAAGCAGTTTATTTTCCAACGTAAAATTGTAATGGCTGGATATAATTCTTCAATACCTAATGAACAGTAAGAGTTTATGGCAATAAAAGTTTATAATAGAGATTTTATCTATAGTTTTTCGTACTCTTTTACCTCGACTGTCCTCGTGTGAACATTTTTTTTTATAACATCAAGTAAAGGGACGAACAAGTCGTGCGCCTGATATTAAGCTACATGCTTGTGCTTAACAATTACAGTGCCACTCAGAGCTTTAAACCGCAAAGAAGATCTGAGTGGCACTACCACTGCGCCGTCACCCTGAGACATAAGTTGACAAGTCCCATGTGCCTATAATTTCACCTTATTTTGAACATTGTGAATTTACAGTGCAAAATTCAAGTAAATATAAGTTTATGTTCTGTGAAGGCTTGTTTGAATATCGACCAAATCCATCTAGAGTCTGCTATATACAAGAATCCAACAGTAAGTAAGGGTGATGTTACCAATGATCGACATTTTAAGAGAAGTGTGTCTTTGAATTTGAAATAACTTTTTTGTTTCTATATATATAATAGCGATTAGTTTCTTTGAGAGATATAATCCTCAAGAAAGATTGTGCTGTAGTATGTTTCATAAAAAAGCCATTATAAATCTCGAGTTCTTAGATTTTCGCGATTGTTACACATAGGAAATGAAACTATTTTTAACCGACTTCAAAATAGGAGGAAGTTCTCAATTCGACTGTATGTTCTTTTTTTTGTTTTTTTTTTGTTTTTGTATCTATGTTACGCGATAACTGCGGTGTTTGTGAACCGATTTTCATGATTCTTTTTTTATTGGAAAGGGGGTACTTCCATAGTGGCCCCATTTCATTTTGAAGAAAATCATCCACCTCGAAGGGTGGCTGTTCACGCATGAAGATTCATTTTTATAAATAGATTATTTTGGATTTAAATCGCGTATATTTGTTTCTTCAAACCAACTGACGTTTCGGGCCCTTTACAGGTTCCATGATCACGGTTGAAAATAGTTTCATTTCCTAAGCCATTATAATTTTTCCAAAAAAGACCCTTAACTGGAATTCATCTAAATCTCCAGTAATGAACACCAGAAATCCACTATAACAAACGTGTTACTATAATAGAAAACTTTGTCTTAAATCTTATTAGAAATTCATTTAAACAAGGTGTCGAACTGTAGTGCTTGTCGGTTACAGCCTTTTCTCTAAATTCTATTTTTGATATTACAGTGTTTTGGTTTGTATAACTATTAAAAATATTCTTGTAACGTGTTTGTTATCGTTAATGATTTAAGTTTACTATTTTCCATAATTACGTATTTACGTACTTAAATGGATTCTAAGTTAAATTTGAACCCACAGATAAAACTATTAAAGATGTGTCAGTGCGACCTTCAACCCTTTCATCTGTCATCTCACAAAGTCAAAGTCAAAGATTATTTATTCCATAGGTAAAATAAATTTACACTTGAAAACGTCACATTTAAGCTACTGCTCGTTCACTACGCTGACCTCCCTGAGAAGAACGAGCAAGAAACTCTAGGGATTGCTCTTTTTCAGATAAACTTAAATGCTATGTCTTCAATTTCGTAATATGATTTTTCGATCAAAATATTTTTAATGTAGTTTTTAAACGTAGGAAATGATAAACTTAATATATGCTCCGGAATCTTATTGTAAAAACGTATACAGTTCCCCATAAAAGAGTTGTTTACCTTGATTAAATAAAATCGTGGTACCATGAGTTTGGACTTAGCTCTAAGATTAATATTATGGATATCTTCACCCTTTATTACCCTCTTTTCTGGCTCTTGGCCACTTACTTTTGAAATCGTTCTATAAACAGTACAATATAGTATATTACAAACCAGCTTATCAGTCAATCAATATATTTATTCGTCATCATAGATCATAAAACGATAGTGTGTACAGTTTTATATAGCACAGCTATGATGCACCCCTTACAGAGGCATATGAAAATTTATGTCCAATCTAATCTTAATTTATAAAATATTAATTAATTATTATGTGTTCAATTATAAGCACATTCTGTCGGATACATTTCGAGGAGTGCGTACGAACTTTTCAATTTGATTCCACTCTCACTGTTCCTTCTTCGGTCGACTAGAAGGTCCGGAACACTCCATCCTTATGTCGTTGATATACCACCCATTCGCACTAAATGCATTGCTTCCTTCTTTGTGATGCGTGCGGCAAAGGAATGGACCACTCCACGGCATCTGTGTTTCCCGAAAAATACAATTTAGGGTTATCCAAGGCATATTTTATGCCTTTTGGCAGGCATATTTTATGAGTGAATAGGCATTTTTTAGGCAAACGCGTCCCACCGTCGGTCACGTCGTCGCTTAACATCAGGTGAGATTGTGGCCAAGCGTGTGTCTATTATTTATAAAAAAAATACATTATAATTCACACTATATTATCATTCAAATATTCATCAACTGTTTAATAGCATTTTTTAAACAATAGCCTTGACGATTCTCTCCTGAACATCCAAAGACAAGATTTTTAATCTTTGTGGTTGTTTATTGTAGAGTTTAGGAACCATTTTAATGGCGCTTTTTTTCTTAAGAGCTCTTTCTAATTCCTTTTCTTCGTTATTCATACTTTGGTTTGTTACGTCAACACTCCCATCAAAATTCTCTAAGCGAGAGGTCGTGTCATCTTCTGATGTTGCATGTCCATGGGCGACGATGACCACTTCTCATCAAGTGGCTCGTCTGCTCGTTTGCCTCCTTGTTTACATAAAAAAAAAAATTATACGTCAAAAAGTTAGAGAATGATAAACCTCTACAAGGACATAATCAGAACTCTCAAGGTCACAAAGAAACGTCAAATTTTGTCCTTAGTGTCCTTTTGTGACCTAATCAGTAACCACGGAAATAGAACCACGGTTTCAAAATGGTGTTTAAGCTTTTACGGATGTTTTCCTTGTGTCAATAAATTTGAAACTGTAATTTATAGATTCAGATGTTGGCTAAGCAACATTGCTACTCCTCGAACCTGGCTCTGTCGTCTCATTCTCCATTCGACATTCGTCCGTAACAATGACTGCCAAATAAGTAATATTCGACCAAATTAAGAGACGCAAGATGCGAATGAAGCTTTATACTTGACATTTTCTTATAAATTTGGTCGTGTATTACTAACGAGAATGTGATTAGGCCCCCAGGTTTCGTGCGAATACCAGTTTAAAACTCAGTGTTTAGTTGCTAGTAGAAAGCTTTAATTCCTGTAATATGTAAAGTATATTGCAAATATAAGGCCCGCCTCGCCCAATTATGACGTACGCCAGTGTCGCATTCGAATCCACCGCCTGCAGGTTCTCCAAAATAGGTTCAACGCTGACCTTCACATAGATTTACAGCTCCCCACAATAGCCCAGTTCACAAAACAGACATAGAGGAAGTACTCGACTCTGCTCCTCACCACCCCAACGCCCTCGTGGTGGCTGCATCCTACTACGACCCCTTCAAGGAACACCCTCATCGCGTACATAGGATCCGTCGGCCAAGGGAAGTCCTTAACGACTCTGACGACCATACTACTCTCGCCACTTTGCCTAGAGGACATACAACCCGAGTATTTTTAAGGTGCGACTGAATTGGCATCTTCTGGACAAGCTCGTTCCATTGTAGATCCTATCTTTGCTCCAGGGTTAGGTAGTGGTCAAGAGCAAGTTACTTTAAAAAAAACTTTCTTTTTATTGTAGCAAGTACAATTAGGTGGTCTAGGTCTTTGCAAAAATCCAAGACGGTCTTCGTCTTGATTTCGGGCAGCACTTTTTTCAGACTGTATCAGATTTTCTTTTTTTCATTTAAACTTTGATACCTCAAGGACTTTTTATCGACCTAATAATTATGTATATAGGGCCCAGAATAGTTTCTATTCACGTAGTCCGTATTTTATAACAGTATATAATAAAGCTTGAAGCGTTGATAAGCTTCTACGATTTTATTACGTAAAAGTACGGACACATGCATAGACAACCACAAATTACACCCAAACTCACGACAGAAATAAAAGTAGGTCATACAAATATTTCTGCACGGGAATCGAAAGCCGGGACCTCTGCGTGGCAGTCCGGCATGGTAACCGAATTTACG